CAGGAGGATCCGGGCAAAGAGCCACATATAAAGGACTCTTCACCTGGAATCGTTTGCCCCGCCCAACTTGTGCAAGGCGTCCTGCCTTCTGCTACTCCGTGCGACTGCCTCCAAAAAGAGCGCCGTGTTTTTTCCTACCTCGCTGCCCTCCACTTTCCCATTCTGGAGCGCTAGCTTTCGCCCCCCCCTTGGCCTCAAGTCAATTCTTTATTTGGAAAACGTGTCGTTCGGATCACCTGGGCCCACCGGTCGGATCACGGGCCCACCTGAGGTCGCTTGGTGCTTCGCAACGGTCGGTGGGCGACGGGGCTGGGCGTGAGGTGGGGGAGGGGGAAGGGGTTGTGAAACAGCTCCTCATCACAACATGGAGGGGAACAGAGAGATCACCATGACAAGGAGATAGTCAGAGATAACTCAGAGCTGATACTCAGAGATCACCATTACAATGAGACATATGACTCTGACATATTGGCTTGTTGTTGGGAAAGCTTATACGCAATCACGCTGACTGGACTCTTATAGGCCTCAGCCTCAGACATTCCTATTTGGGTAGGCAGACGGATTGAGGGACGAAAGGAGGGCTGTGGCCAAAGAGCTGGCATACTAGAGGAAAGCTGAAAGTTCCAGGCAACCTGTTCATATTAAATCCGCCCAACCTGCCAGAACTGTTTGGATTTTATATATAGTTATTTTTCTTCGGCTTCTCTATCTTGTGGCTGCCTACGAACTGCTTAACACTGTGCCTTCTCGTGAGACGATCGGACTGGCTTGGCCAAAGATATACAGTAAGTTTTGCATCATGATCCTGCTGAAAGTTTGCTGAACCTCTTGGACACCTGAAGATGTTTATGGAAGTATCGGCTGTGCTTCATCCAGGGGTCTACATGTGAGCTTCTTGAGAGCCAGCAACCACATGCCATGCAACCTAGAATTCTCACCGGGGGGGTGAAAGATGCGAACTTCCTCCAGTGATTTTTATCTCGCTTGGTGTCCCTGTCAGGGCTTCGCCCTTGGCCGTTGCTGGCCAGTTTGGCGGCGGCCAGTGTGGAGAGGTCAGTGGGAAGGGCGTCTGGGGATCACTACTGCACTTAAGTAGACTTGGACGAGTCCCCAATACCAGGGGCCAAGGGGTGGCTATTAATAGCACCTTCCAGGCGAGTCTATTCACCACTCCGACTGGGGGTTCCCAATCGACCACCCCATACGCATTGGACAGCCATGGGATGGTTCTAGTGGGCGACGGCTTCTTCGAGGTGATCAGCCTTTTCCTTGCAAGCGATAGGAGAAAACTAGACAATCACTCTTTCAGCGGTCTATGTTGATGGCTTTGTGAGTGTGAGTCATCGGTTGCTAACAATTAAATGTAGAGAAGGAAGCAAGGATTCTAAGGAGCTGGCTGTGGTGCTGTCATAGCTGCTAGCTTTTTCTCAGCCAGCCCAGCTGCAGGTTTAGTCTTTAGTCGAAGGAAGGATTGGCCGCCTGGTCCCCGAATAGACATTCATATGACACGCTCCAGAACAAATAGGACACACGCACCCAAAAAAATATCACATCCAACCCGCATGCACATTCCCATCCGAACCCGATATATAAACATGCAAAGCCCGAGAAATACCTAAGAAGCATCAAGAAACCAATCCCATACACTCCATTGGAAATGCCGTAGGACTGCTGATCAGTTTGGGAGGTTGAAGTCGGGTCAATGGGGCGGCAGTCCTATGGCAGTCCCAGACAGGTCGTGTCTGGGAATTCGTCCTTTTGGGTTTGCAAGTGCTCCGTCCTCACGGAATCGGAGGGCTCAAACCGCAGGCCTCCGCCCGCTAGCGGCCAGGCTGGACGAGTTCCTGCCACGACACCTGTGGCCTCGTTGGCAAGGGAGGCGATTCCGCGTGTGAAAACACGGGTCCGAAAACCTCGCAAGCTTCGTGGAGGTGCCTTTTTCTCTCAAATCAGTTCCAGTTGATTTGCGCGGTTTTTGCGGAAACATGGGGCTCAAATCTCGGGAAGACACGGGGGCCCAGCTCCAAGCTTGGAGAGTTTTGTACGGTGATTGACCCAAAAAAAGGTACAGGTGAAAACCGCGACACCCTGGTTGAGCACCAAGAATGAACAGGATGGACTAATTACCTGGCAGGGAGGTCGACCTACCCTGGTTTGGGGCTCCGGGTGTTGACCCACAGCCACATGGAAAGACAATTCATTTACTTGATACCTTCAGAACTGTTCAACCAACAACGGGGACCAAGTGCAGCAAAAAGTGCACCATCCAGGGCAGACACCATTGGACCATCACCGACGACCCCAACGAGAGGGAAGATTATGTGTAGACATTCTCACCCCTGGCAGTAGATGTGTGGTCGTTTGTGAGGAGCAATTCGCAGACAACATGGTGACCCTTATATCCCTGACCAGCTTGCAAGTCTTGCGGCACATCGTGCACAGCGTGAGCCTCGTGCAGCGCATGCGCCAAATGGTGACCCTTTAAAAAAGATGTGTCGCGTCATGTCGCGTCGACCTTGCAGCGCTTTGTGACATCCGGACCCTCACCTTCCAACCGGCGTAACCACTTACCACGTGCCTGCACGCGTTTTCGGACGCCTGGCGTCGTCACCGGCCAGGTGTCACCGGTGGTCGTCGGGCTGAGGTCCAATTTGGTTTGGTCCTTCGCGAAGCTCAACATCAAGGAGCCTTCCTTGTTGGCAAGCTGGGCCTCAGGGTTTGTCCGGAGGGGAGTTGAAGCAGCTGCACCTGGAGTGTGTTTTTTGTTCAGATCCCCTTTGGATCCACATACCCTTTGAGATGGTGATTGGAGACAGGATGGCGAGGTCCCGGGTTCAAAAAGGGTCGAATTCCAAGAGAGGGACCCGAAAAAGTGACCCGAAAAAGGACCCTAAACCCTGAAATACCTAACCCAGACACTCCATGTATGCCATATATGCCTACATTGACCCCTGAAACCACCCCAATGTTGGCGTATATGGCACACATGGAGTGTCTGGGAAATAGGACCTAATTGATGATTATCGATGTCTATAGGGTTCTTCAACCTTTGTTGGTTCTGGGTTTTCGGGGATGGCCAGGGCGGCATCACACTCGCATCCCAAGCTCCCCATCGGCGCCTCAAAATCGGTCAGCTCCGTCCTACGTGAACTCCAGACGGACTGGAGGCATCTGCGCGGTGGAAAACTCACATGGACCTTGAAGAACCACTGGTTTCGTGGAGGAAAGCAAGCCTTTCCGGGTCCCATTCGATCCGGGTCCATGTGAGTGACATCGGGAGTGTATCTCATTCGAACCCATGCAGGTTTTGGACGGTCCACGACGGTTGAGGTCATCCGGTCATCCCAGGTCTAGCTACCGCTTGCCACAGCGGCGTGCGGCATGCGGACCGTCAAGGCAGTGACTGTAGGAGGCTTTGGCCCTTGGCCCAACTGCATGGGGAATTCTCCGACTAGTTGGACTAGGCTTCCTCCAAAGGAAAGGAACAGCCAGCAGCCCAGTAGCCCCAAAATTGGGCCAAAACAACAGGTCAAGCGCATCTCGCTTCCTGTCTTTTGTCCCTAATTCCTGAGGCCGACCAAGTGATGAGAAGTTATATAATAGAAAGCTCATTCCCCCACATCGTGGTGTTGATGTACTGGTACCATAGATTTGGTCATGTGCAGAAGCTGTCTACTGTAGTCGGGCTGACCCCCGTGCAAGGTGAGCGAGAACCACAGGTGGCAATGCACCAGGTCGACGCGCAAGTCTCCATTTCTCCCACTGCCAGGCCTGGCAAACAGCGCCTGGGCCTTCGCTGCTTTGCTTTGGTCGGGTGGCCCACTGTGGTGAGCCACCCAACAAATGCATCAGCTCGCCGTGCCGGCGATGACTCGTCACTCCCAGGCATCTACTTCCCAACTGCGGGCCTTTTGGCTTCGCACTGAATTCGGATCCACCACCATTCAACTGTTGGCAAGAATGGCGGGAAAGGAGTAATAGGGCAGCAGTGTGGCCCTTGACAACTTGAGCAAGCAGCAAGCCTTTGTCAGTCTCCTTTATATGCCCTCCTCCGGTAGTGAACAGGTCGGTTGAAAAGCTCAAGCAACCTCAAGCAACCTTCAGTGTCAAGATCATTTGCCTACCCCCGGTCAGCGGATATCACCGGCAAAACCCTCCACTGGGGGGATGGTGGGCACCTCACTCAAAACCAACAGGCTCGCGAGTCGGCCGGGGGGTCTCCATATAGGGTAACCCGATGTCCCAACACCGCAGCTCACCGGGGCGCCCAAAAAACCGCCCTCACCTCAACCCCTCTCGCTCGACGACATGCAGCCCAAGGCACGATGGGCCCTTGATGGCTGCCATCGGGACTGAGAATCGAACATGGGCCGGTGCCATCTGGCTCTGGCTGTGAGTCATGGCACCGAACACCCACCTGGTGCCGTGGGAGGTTGACATCCCTATATGAGGAGATCCGTTCTTTTCACCCGGGGTCTGGCCCAGGGTGTGGTGCCATGACCCACTGCCATGAAGGCTCAGCCGATCGAGGGTCCTGTTAACAACATGCTTCACGGTGAACGCCACGGTGCGCCACGATTTGCGGATGCGCCACGGTGAACTGTAGCCCAAGGCAAGGCCCTTACAGCCGGTCCTGAGGTGAACCCTTCAATAGGTTCGTGATCGCATGAGAACTCCAAATCTGGATGCGTCATGCCGCAAGGCGCGTTTGTTGCGAGGCCCTGTGCCATCTCGCATGGTGATGTGAGATGCATTGACCCCCTCCCACCAGGGCTTCTCCACTCGTGCATGGCGAAGCTCGGTCACACAGAATGTCCAAGCCCCATGCACAAGACAGCAGCGCTGCAGAATTGGCGTGCATTTTGCATCATGTCCGACTAGGCCAACCCAACAAGGTGGTGTTCATGCGTCATCCAGCCATCGAAGAGCACACATCCCCCCTTCAATCTCCTTCAATATCTCATGATATTTATTGATATTTCATGACTTTTGGCAAGATGCACGTTGTTGGCTTATGTTAACTTCATGATTCCTGGGACATCCTGAGATGCATTTAGTCGTATCTAACTAAGTGTGAAGTGATCTCTCGCGGGTTCTCCGCTCTAAATAACGCCGACCACAAGCTGCACATCCCTCTAAAAAATGGCGCAGCAATCTATTGACCTAGGATCTGCAGGTAATGAACCCAAACGCACAACTTGAACATTTGTTCATCTATCATCATGTATCTACCCAAAGTAGTGCTTTGAGACTTCTGGGGGTTCACTCTCACCTACCTTGTTTTCCGTGTCGGCCACCCTGCATGTCCATGTGTGTAGGACTGAGTGCTGCAAGCAGATGGCCAGTTTCACTCCGCAGCATGTGGTGGACTCAAGGGGGAGAACCAAACGTTGTGGACTCGCTTCCGTGGCTTGTTCGAGGGTTTGTACATGTTTGTACGCCAGGATCTCATCAGTCAGGTCTTGATCGTCGCCACATGAGTGCCAAGATGTGCCAAGTACCTCCTCACAGAAGGTATTGGGACCCTCATGGACCCTCTAAACCCACCCCAATGGTGGGTCTTAGGAACCCAGTGGTTAGCTTCTAGCAATTTAGAAGTGACGGACAGACTGGACATCCACGACCGGGCGTGTCTCAAATGCCCGATTGTAGGCACCAAAGTGCGAGAAGTCTGTTTCAAGAGTTGTGGACGGCTTGACATGTTTTCCTTTTTCGGGAGTTCGAGTTCGAGGAATTATGCCCGGAGCTGTAGGGCAAAGCCTCTGGACGTTCTCTACTTGATCACGCGCAGTCCCACTCCAAAGAGCACATTCAGTGGTGGTTGAAGAGGAGTCCAAAATCTTCCTTTCATGGACCATGGAGTCTGCAGAGAAGAAACAGTGTCTCAAGCGACGGAGCTGCCACCAGCGAGTTAGAATTTGCAAGTCACCGATAGGTTTTGTTGAACAAGGTTTCAATGAGAGTTTGCCACTCTTGAAGCTGGAAGGTTTGTCATCCTGAAGTGGCGGGTCAAAGCGATCAAAAGACATCAAAGACCTTTCCAGGTGGCCAACCTTGCCTGGGCCTTTGCCAAATTGGAAGCCTTTGCCACACCGGTGGGGGGACCTCAAGGTGTGCATGTTTTGCAATGTTTGCTTCGGACCTGTGCTCCGATATGCACATGCACGCAGGGTTGCCTCCCTTGTTGGTAGACAAAGATCTGCTCACAACGGTGCTCCAAATGGAATTTCAATGCTACACCTCTTGAGACGGCTTGAGACCACCTGAACTTGACATAGTAGAGCTAGTAGTAGTAGTAGTAGTAGGAGTAGGAGTAGGAGTAGGAGTAGTAGTAGTAGTAGTAGTAGAGCTATTGCGATTGAACCTCCCTAGTCCTGTGGCCTTCAGTCTAGAAGCTAGAAATGCTGCTGCGTGTTCTGCCGTATGAGTGGTCCAGCGAGTGATCCCAGCATGGAGGGCCGTTCAGCACATGATCAGTGAAGGGCTTCGACTATGGTCAAAACAGTGGCCCATCGAATCAGCTTGAGAGATGTTGATAGTCGTTTTGTCACCTTTTTGGGGGAGTCACAGCCCAAAAAAGCACCGGGCTTTCTCAGACAGATGGAGCCTCATTCACAGGCGCTTTCGTCAATACGAAGGGCTTTCGGAAGTTGAAGCCGGAACTTCGCGTGTTTTGATCCCTTCCTGGCCCGGCAACTCTTGAAACAACAACGAAGGGTCTCGACGAGTTAGGGCGCATGCGCCAACCCGTCTTCTGAGTCTTCATCATGGTTGGTAAGAGAACTCTCGATAGAATTCACTTAGCTTCTTCATCAACCAGCCCAAGTGATCCATCAACATGGCAGTCCCAGTGCCAGTCCTGTGTTTGGGTATCGGTATAAGCGTTATATAGTTGCACAAGACCAGTTGGACCAAACTAAGGTAAACTAAGGGTGGGCAACCCAACAAGGCCAAGAAATTGTGCCGTGCGTAACAAGGGCACGGCACAAAGGGGCGTTCTTTGGTTCACCGGGGAAACCGAGGTTTTGCAAGCCGTGTCGCAGGCAAGGTGTCCGAGTCGTTTAGCCACCGTGGTTCGGAGGGAGCGACGGCGACCCGGGTCGGGCGACGGCTCCAGTTCGTTCATTTTCTTCCCGGACTCGCGAACCAAGGAGCTGACAGGGTGTTCCCGGTGTTCCCTAACATTCACCAATGTACAAGCTTGATTGATAAAGCTCTCCCATTTGGATTGTAACACCTCCATATATGTGAGGCTTGGTGGCTTTATTCAATGGTCTACATGAAGCACCTTCCAGATATGTAAGACTCGAAAGGTATGCAGGCCTTCAGGCATTGGCAGGCCATTGTTACCCTTTAGCTGCTGGTATGACTGGTCCTGCAAATCGTAAAGGCTCAAAGGCTTCAACGATTAAATTGACTTCTCATCAACCCACCCTCAATTACCATGAATTCAATAAAGAAGAAGATGACCCAACGTACGCTCATGTGTCTTATTTGATGGACAATGGACACCACCCACGTCGTCCACTTATTCAACTGAGACTCCCTACGGGAGTCTCAGAGGGATGGTGATCGCTAGAGCACCTGTTCCTGTTGGAACAGACCGTGCTGAAGCAAATGACGACGAATAGTACCCAGTATCCACACCATGTTCCCAAAGCACTCCTGAGAATGTAGGAATTGAGTCATTCCAGAGGCGACCCGTTTGTCCACGTGCTACCTGTTGGTTTGCTCCAAAACAGCCTCGGGCGCCGAGGCAGCCATGGGCCTAAGGAGCGACATCGGCACGCAAGCCACCGCAGAGCTCTGAGTGCAAGATAGTGCAAGTTATTTTCGGTGCAGGCGGAGGCGCATTTGGCGCAGATGCATGGGGGCTCCCACTTGTGAGGATGCATGAGGGTTGCCAGTGCCCACCCTGTTTGCTGGGACTGGACCCATTTGCAGTGCTGGTTTTGAGCAACTGAACTGATGAACCATGATGAACCTAATTACCTGCGGTTCTGATTTCGATCTGCCCTTGAGGTGAACTTGCTGTGGGCTGTGGCGAAGCTGTCGCACCAAAGTGGGCCCTGCCAACTTGATTTTGTCACTCTTGGGAGTGTGAATGATAGCAGGAGCATGCAGTAGCCATTGGATGTTCCTGATGTTGCTGGGCCCACTTGGATATGTGTTGTGTTGCCACCGGCGAGGGCTTTGGCAGAGAGTGTGCCTTCTTGCCTACTTAACGGCAGAGATATTTAGATCATGGGCACTTAACGATCACCTCAGACGACGAACCTCAGACGACGTGCCGTGCGCCCTGTCCAAAGAGGTGCTCCACTGGTGCAGCACTTGTCCGGGATAGCTTTGAAGTTGATGGCCGCTTGGGCAAGGAAAAGGAGGAATCTCAAGTGTGCCAGGTTCTGGTTGATGCTTCCACCCCTTGGCACTGTAAAGGGCATTATAGATTCAAAGGCACCCACCAATGCTAGAACTTGGTAAAGGGTGCCTAGTTTCCTAACACATATCGACAACACCAACACTCCCATGGCTGATGGAAGAACACTTGCACCATCTTGCACCATCATTCGCCACTCACACGCCGCTAGATAGTGTGATCGGGGAGTGCTGGTAAGAGGCTGTGCTACGTAGAGTGCTACCTACAGACCTCCAGTGGTGTGTTAGCATCGAAGTTTCCATCATTTGCCATGGCTGCAAGAAGCGCCAAAAAATCCATCAACCAGTCGACCCTGCCAATTCCTAAGGCAGAGTTGAGCACCATTGACCTCTCCAACCTGGCATGGTCTTACGCCACCATGATGTGCCACCCGGCGACCTTGGGGGGGTGTTCGGGTTTGGTGGTTTGGCGGGAGAGGGTGGCAAATGAAGGTACGGACATCAATCAGTCACTTCAGTGATTAGCAGATATTGGCAGACTGTAGAGAATGGGAGGGGTTTGGAGGGAGATCACCAGTGATCACTAGGAGACTGCGCCCTCGCCAGACCAATGTCCTGCCAGACCACGGATCCATCCATCGCGCCTTGTGGCCGACTGCGCTGGCGGGTGGAACCTGGTCATAGCCCTCTCCAACAAACATTGAAGTGGCCATAAGTGGACAATCCCCTGCTTCTTAGAGGATGTCATGGTCTTCCAAGGGTCATTTTGTTCCATTTCCATGAATGTTTCAAGGAGGGTACTGTACTTGTTTGAGTTGATGGGTGCTTGTGCCCACTAGATGGGCCGTCTGAGCGAGATGAAGCACGGAGATCGCTGAGTGGCACGACATGTCACCGAACGGAACCGACTGGGCTGGGACCTGCAGAATGACTGGGTTGACCTTTCCTGTGAAACAAGCCCCCCCGAGTTGGGACAAAGGGATGCATAATGCTGCACAAACTGGATTTTGGACTGTTGATGTGTATATTATGTTCAGGTTCCCAACTACCTGACAATATGAATATATTTTAGACACACACATATACAAAAATAAAGACATATAAATCATATAAATTATACTAGATGATCGCATCAATAATGGGATCCATCTATGGCGTTGAATTCATCCAATGTTGTCCTTTCATCCCTTCCCGACCTTCTCCCCCCTTCGTGTGATGAGACTTGGAAGGAGTTCTTGCTCATGGTTTTCTCAGCTACTCAATCAGCCCCGCCCAATGGGATGTCGAGGTGACGACCAGGTGGGCTGCTGCTGCACCGCTGGACATACGGGGGGGTCCTAAGGGGTGCCACGCGCCATTTGGAAGGTGAGGCGGTAGATTAAGGGGGGCGCAGATGGGGACAGCCCTTTCCGATTGGTCTGATGTGAGTGAGAAGGTCCTACAGAGAATTTGCTTTAGAGTATTTTAGTAGTATTGCAGTGCACCCCGACAGGGTGACAGTTTAAACCAGATTTCCACGCCCTTCCCAACAGTCAAAGACAGTCAAAGTTGTTGCTTTTTAAAAATGTTATATGTTTTTCACAAATTAGAGCTCCTGGCTTGGCTGTACCTCCTATACACAGTGATTCTCAGACGGAGTCGATTGGCTGGCCTAGCGGCCTAGCTCAAGTTCTCTAATGGAATTGGAAGAGGCTTGACCATGTTTGACCTTATGCAAAATAGATCAAAATAGTGGCTTATTCCCAATTCAATGTCGCAAGGCGGTGTTGGTTTTCTCAGTAATCTTATTATTTGGAGTTGTTGAATGGAATATACAGTAATGACACAGCTAGTACGCCGCGCTGGCCTCAGCTGGTAAAGCGCACCGTGCGACCACCAGAGGCCATCGACATCGCATCGGTTTGGATATTTTTGGATACACGGGTGTCAGCGTTTCTTTTTGCTTTTTAAGAGAGCAGCGGGCTGATTCCGACATTCCTGCTCAAGCGATAGAGCCAAACACGGCACAAAAAGGGCCTCAGATAATAATATAAATAGACATTAGACACATGATGATAAAACACGACTTGAGCAGGTCCTAGGAGTTTCCTTTTTCTCAGGCTCGTTGAAGAGCTACTCTTGAATGATTTTAGAATAAATCGCGCTCTTCAAGGCTTTCAGCAAGAGGCTGTCAGTGCCAAAGTCGTCCACCTCAAACCTCCCTGCGATAGCACATCGGTCATCAATGGGCCCCTCCCTTTGTTCCCCACCTCCTTTTGCAACCGAATCAGCCTAGCCCAGTGACATGAGCCTGGACGTGTTCTTTTCCCCAGGCATGGGGTCAAGCACACCGAGTACTTTAGACATCTTTAGACTAGATTTCAACAATTGTATTATTATACATTTCAATATATTTCATGACTATTCATTGGTGTTGTACCCTGAATCTTCACTGGGTCCTGAATGTGAGCGTGATGCTTCGCATCAATCCATCGCGATCATGCCATGTGACGAACCTTGTTCATCAATGTGGAACAAATAGACCTTGCAGCATTGGGACCAAAAACCCTTGGGAAATACAAAACTGGTTCAACATGTTGTTTTGGTCGACCGGGATGCGTCCAAATCTTTGCTGCACGTGACGTCCAAACAAAGCTCAAATCACCCGGGCTGTGGCTCTTTGAACGCCGTTGATGGGCTGCTCTTCTGGCGAGTGGAGGATGGATGAAAGATGCCGAAGGCTCGGGGTTTTGGTCGTGCGTTGTGATCGAGCCGGTCGGTGTGGAGGGTCATCCTATGTCATCCTCCAGCAGGTTGAAGGAATCGTCGTTGAGTATCCGACTGTCCTTTGCACAGCCAGGCTTGGATCGATTTGGCGGAGGTGCAGCTGGATGACTACTCCAAGGACTGGGGAAGGACATGTTTGAAGTTCGATCGGTTCAGGGGGTGGGTGGTTTTTGGTTTAGCTACTGTACAGCCATTTAATGGGCCATGTTCCTTGGGATGCATTCGCACCGGTGTGGCCACTGGTGCCGAACCACGACGCATTCACGCTGACCCCACGGTCGTTCCACTTTGGGGTCCACCAACGGCCCCCCCCCGCTTTTGGGACCCCACAGCTGCCGGTCCTAACCTTGAACCTTTTTGGGGGGATTCATTTTCTGACTGAGAGCCAACAGGGAAACTCGGGGAGGCTACACATGAATACACCCCTTGGAAGACTGGAGAATGTCAGCGGCTTAGTGGCCCTCAAGTTCAGCCTCTTTAAAGAAGCAAAGTTCGGTTCCCCTTTATTTGGTCCAGCTCCAGCACCGAGTCGGCAATGGTCCAGCTTCAGCACTCACCCACCCATGCCCGGAACGTTTGCGCAGGATCGTAAGGGCTGGTCACCCCGGCAGGCCCGCTGGTCACCCCGGCCATGCTCCCCAGCCCCGCAGAAGCGCGGGCAGGCGGTCGGGGGGTGCAGGTTTGGTGCGCTGTTCTTGGACATGTGGGATTTGAAGGAATGCAGCTTGATGTGACTTACTGTAAAGTATATAGTCTATTTGTGCTAGTGACTGCACATGCACATGTGTACATATGTCACAAGATTTGGTTGGCCCTTTCAATGATTCTGAGTGGGAACTCTTCCTTGTCCACTATGGATGCCTCAGCATCAACCAAGCAAGCAACATCAGCAATCCCAGTACAAGATTCATGAAGATTCAGAGAAGGATGCTTCATCTTCATCTGGGATCCTTTGGGTTTGTCCTATTATTATTGCTTGTGCCTGCAACAGTCAGTAAATTATCTATGTTTTGGAGAAAGGCCTATAGAGGCCTGCAACCTAACCATCATCATCCACTGCCACTGGGCCCTGGTTTATGAGAGGAATTCAGGGTCCCAATCATCTACTCGACGTCCCACTTGCGGTCGCCGTTGTTGGGGGGACCCGATGGGAACCGATGGCTTTTCCAAACAAAGAAGCCGATGGACGCCCAAAATCGTCAGCAAGATGTAAGGAAGCCTGTGACTGATGAGGCAGGTGTCTCAGCATAGGTGCTCCAAAGAGGTTTTTCTATCACCTCAGTCATTCTGTGGGTGGGTCGGGGGCAGCAAGGACCCTTTGTAAGCAGTTGGGGCCCCAAGCCTTTGGAACAAGGCCGCCCTGGTGGTTTTGGGCCTCTTCATCACCGCCGGCAGTTGCATCTACGGGTGCCGGGGCGCAGCGGGCGGTTTTTTTTTCCGATTCTTGGACAGAGCTCCTACAAGCAACTGACGAATTTCCAATTGATGAAATCCATCGGTGTTTGGACAAGTGTTGCCCTCTCAGGAGGTGAGGGAACTCTGGATGATCAAGAGAGCGGTTTTTAGAGAGGATATGAGAGGATCACATGTTCCATTGCAGAACTCCATTGGTTTTGGGTTGGCGGCTGGGCGGACCTGTGCGAATGATATAACTTGTGATTAGAGGCTACTGAGCCACTGTGAGTTGGGACACGCTGAGTATAGCAAATCCCCTCGTCATACTGTTTATACACCTTGGGTGTCTAGAATCAACCCACTCTGTACTTTTTTATGGGCACAAATCTCCTAGGTCCTAGATTATTCCTTTCATATATAATGTTGGGACCTCGTTCCGGCATGCCTTCCCTACCTCTCCAGTACAGCATCTAATATCTAAGGCAAACTTTCAACAATGCTCAAAAACATCTGGTGTGCAAAGCTTGAGGAAGAGGTTGGTTGGTCAAGCGGCAAATTCTTAGATCCAAACAGCATTCCATGGGTTTGCATGGTTTTCTTTTAGGGCGAACGTAAGCATCGGACTTTGGATGTGCGTTGCGCAACAGCCTCCAGTACAACCAATTGTGGGCAGGTGTTCCGATGTGCTCAGGACTTCGGACGTGGCCTCTCTATATAAACGAGTGTTTGACAGTGTTTGATTCTACGATGGCGGAAGGCCAGAAAACGACTGGGCCACGAGAAGGAATGAAGTGTTTTGTCCTTGTCCCCTTCCCGTTCTTGCATCAACATGCGTGATAGGTAGGTAGGAAACCCAATGTTCAGTGGGGCAAGGTCACAATACTTCATACTTTCATCAAGCCCAAGCTGGCGCCCAGAACCCCCCAGAACCGCTGAACGAGCCTGGCCGTGCCGTGGAGGCTCTACCCGTGGACCGCTCCGACACAGCGACTGTCGGAAGACGTGCCTTTGGCGGTCGTCGTGGACGCAGGCGCCGCTGAGTGACGGTCCCCAAAGCATCGAGCTGGACGTGCTGGCCTTTGGAACGACGATGGTCCGAATGGATGGGGGTGAACTCCACTTCCATCATTGTTTTTACATGTAGCATCATGTAGCTAAACGATTTAGAGATGCATTCTCAACGTCTGAAGGCAGATCAACCGCTGCCGTAGGGTCCGGTAGGGTACTCCAATCATCTCCAAACTAACTTGATCCACTTCAGGCAGCACTGGGA